GGGAGGGGGTCTCTCAGACGAAAGATACCCTCAGGGGGGTCTTTCATATGCACACACAGACATTGCACAGAGACAGTTAGACACTTACTGCCAGCATAAAAACCTTCGGGTCAGGTCCCTGGAGTCTTGGGATCCCGGGATGAGTCCCCAAAAATGTTATGCCCAGTTCACGAACCCCAACAAACCAGGAATAGACTCCACTGTAAATACATGAGGTTTTTTTTAAATTGTATACTCGTTCGAACATGGGACACAAACTTCCTGTGGAAATAAGAGAGAAATTCGGCCCAGAGGTCTAGGGTATAGAGTTTTTAAGGGAAAAACCACAAGCAGTGGCTTACAGCTTTGGCATTACATGATTGGGTAAGGGAAACTGACTTTTGAAATGATTGGTCCACTTAGGCACCAAGATTACAAACAGTTCTGGCCTGGTCATATGGGCAGGTTTCCAGAAACTGTATAATTAGAGGGCAGGGAAAGAATGCAGTAAGGCTGGTTCTCCCCCTCAGGGCATTACTGGACATGTCTCCACCTACTAGCCTTCCTTCAGGCTTTAAACTTTAAAACAATACCCACTGATTTTTAACTCTTTGGTCACTCAACAGACACATATATTAAGCAGGAATTATTTAGGACAGGCTTACCCTGTCCTGGCAGAGTTTGGCAGTTGACTTGGCCTGCATTTAAGCTTGCACAATTTGGCCTGTATCTCCATTATGGTATTAGGACCTATACATGCTGCTCTAATTCAGCATTCCTTTCTAAATTCCATGTGTCTTAGCAGGTGTGCTACTTATTTCATTTAAACATTTTAAAATTGATATGTCATAATTTTATCTATTTTGGGGAGATATTGTATCTCCCTTCTGTTTTATGACCATCTTTTAAATATTTCTGTTAGGTATTTTCATAATTGTTTGACCTGTAGGATTATAAGTTCTATCTGTAACAGGTTTCATGTCATAATGTCTAAAGTATTGTTGAATTCCAATGGATACACATGCTGAAGCACCATCAGCACCAATCTTCTGGGGCATCTCCAAAACATTCACCACCTCCAACCTTAGTATAATGCACTCCAGATAATGCTAACCTTAGAATTATGCTTTCCAGAATTTAAGGCCAAAGCCCACTGGAATTCTGAATATGAATCTATGGCATGGTGCTTGTAATTTAGTTCTCTGAACTCTGTAAAATAGAGCACACCAGCCACTGTAGGACCTTGTTCTAAGACAGCACTGAACAGGATCTGCATTTCTACTTTAGCATATAGACCTTCATCTAGTCATTGAATCTCAGCAATACACACACAATGTTGGCCTATCGCTGAAGACTTTCTCTCCAGCATCTCAAAGGGCTGATGTTTTGCAATATCTTCAAACCTCTGTGGACTTTCTCATCTAGAACTCCCTCTTTTGGCGTTACTGTAAGTTCCAGATTAGATTGCTCTGCAGGCTCTCTATTTTGATTCAAACATTCCCTCAACTTCTGTTCTATGGCCTTAAATTTAGCCTCTTTTTTCTCAGTCTCTTTTTTTCTCCAAGTCTGTTTTATCCCGATCTCTCCCAAAGAGGATATGCAAAACAGAAATCCTCACTGAAAACATTATTTGTACGCTAAGAGAAACAAACTAAAATGGTACCCAAAAGCACTGTGTTATTGTGTCTTCCTCCATTTTTAACATACAAAATTATCTTTTTAAATCTCAAAATCTCTTCCTAAGGACTTTACTTTCTTAGATCCTGCTTTCCTTCTAAATCCCAGTTCAGATGCCTGAGGCTTTTCAGTTTGTCTCTTGTGTCTGCCTCCAAGGAGAGGTATTTTTTCTACCTTCCTCACTGGATCCTGACCTTTCCTCAGTCTGGGAAATTACTGGGTCCACAAATATTTGCTGCTCAGACCAGCAAGAACCCCTTCCCAAAGGGATTTTGCTTTCTGCCTTGGCTAGCAAAGTCTGGCTTTGAGAAGCTTGCTTATCAAAGAGCCACTTTAAAAATCTGTATTTAATTTTTTTTTTTTCTTACCTGAAGAAACTTCTTCTCTGGAGTTTGTATGTATTATTTTCTCTATTCAGAGTCCCTCCTCCCAGTTGACCCCTGCACAAGCCTGGGCCCATTAGTTTCCTGTCACAGACGTGGGGTGGGCTCATGAGGCCCCTCCTCCATAAACTATCAGAGAAATACTGGTTAGGAGAAAGGAGAGCGACAGGGCCTTCCCTATGGCTTCCCAAGCTTGTGTGTGTGTGTGTGTGTGTGTGTGTGTGTGTGTGTGAGAGAGAGAGAGAGAGAGAGAGAGAGAGAGAAGTGGGAATTGTGTCCTCAGAAAATGCTTTCTGGGGTCATCTGCTGAGCAGAGGGTGCAGTCTCTGAAGCCTCTCACGTGCCCTGTGCTTCTCTTGTAGACTGGCTCAAGGAGTTCTTCCAGGCCTGTGAGTGACTGCTCCTTAGGGATGTCCCTCCTGTCTTTCCCACTGCTCTGCTCTCTCCTTTGGTTTCCTGTGGTGACCCAGGTGGTGACAGCTTCAGTGTTGGGTGGCAGAGGGACAGTCACTAAGCTGGATCTGGTTCTCAAGGGCTGTGACCTTGTAACCCTTAACCAGCCTTTTGGTCACTTCCCCTGCTTGCAAGCCATGGGCTGGAGCCACAAGGTTCTTATGTGAGGGACATATTCCCCCAGAGGGAGCTAAGGGGCTTTGAGGTGGAGGTGGGGGCAGCTGTGGCCTTGTTTGGGGACTGGACACGACCTCCCATGACTGGCAACTCTCCCTGCAGGGCCTGTCACTCTGGATCCGGACCCTGCCCACCCCATCCTTGCCGTGTCCCAGGACAGGATGAGTGTGGCCCTGAAGGACCCCACTCCATGCTTGGCCGGCCTCTTCTGTGTGTTAGGCAGGGAAGGCATCTCCTCTGGAAGACATCACTGGGAGGTAGAGATACAGAATGGAGACAGCAGCAGGAGGACTCTGGGGTCTTTAGGGGAGGTATGGAGGAAAGGCTGGTGCTCTGAGAGTCCAGAGAAGGGGTTTGGACTGTGGGTCGGTCTAGTAGTGGACACTGTGCCTACATTGACACTGGGAGGGCTTCATTGTCCATTCGGGAAGCTCCCCAGAGTGTGGGGTGTTTGTGGACTACAGCGAGGGTGACATCTCCTTCTACAACATGAGTGACATGTCCCGCATTTTCCCCTTCCATGAAGCTTCCTTCTCGGGGACTCTTTTTCCATACTTCAGGATTAAGTCTGGAAATGTTTCAGTGACGCTCAGCTCCATGGCAAGTGTGTCTAAGGGGAATTATGGCGAAGAGGGGGACAAGAGGATGGAAGAGAGAGAAGGGGGAAAGGGAGTACAAGAAAGAGTGGAAGAAAGAGAGGAAAGAGGCTATTTTTGTTTCCCTTTGAAGGAGTCTCTGTGTCCCCCAGGGCAGGGCCTGGGTCCAGGCTCTTGTGTTGTGGACTGTCTCCCAGGGGAAGAACCTCCTTTCCTCCATCATCCTGGTGACACCTTGTTTCCACAGTGTGTCACTGCCTCTAAGCTGTCAGTGTGAGTCCTTGTGTGACTGCAGAAGCCACAGGCCAGAACCCCTGAGTCCTGGAAGGGCCTGGATTCTGACCCAGCGCTCGTCAGTGTGGCCCTGAGGCTGTGAGAACAGCGAGCTCTTGCTTTGTGTTCACGCAGCAGCGGATTTGCCCTGACTAGGGTTTCAGCTGGCTCGAACTCTGGAAGGAACTTTCCTTTTTGTGTTAAATGGCATTTCATTGGGTTTTCATATCATTTGGTATGAAACAGATGGAGGGCTGAGTGGACATTGTTTTAGTTTGTCCATCTGACCACGGGCACTTAGCTCTATTCTGTGTCTTGGCTCTTGGGACCATTGCTGTGGTGAATATGGGGACCAGATGAATCTTTGCACATAAATTCCTGTGAATTTGTTCCCGGTAGTGGTATTGCTAGATGATAGAAACTTACTCCTAATGGACCTTCTCAGTGGACAATACCTGCTCTTCAAACCTCCTGGAACCAGCCTTACCAATATATTTTTTTTGTCAATGATTTCTCACATAAGTTGTTTGATTTGTGTATTTGAGTCTCTCTCAGGTAAATACATATAAGTATAAAAATTAATTCATATTTTCTAAAGGTTGACATCATGTATTTTAATGTTTTATTGTTTAGTTATCTATCTATCTATCTATCTATCTATCTATCTATCTATCTATCTAT